AAATGTTGACCTTGAGTAAAGTCTAACAGCGCACTCAATTCTTCCATGTGGTCTGCGTCTTTGGCCGCCTTCACGCCGTTAAGCCTCCTTGGCACCTGATTTTGGATGACAAAAAAACATATTTCTAGGCCGTTCAGGCTCCTTCGCACCTGTTTCTGGGAGTCAAAAAAAACACTGCTTGTCTTTCTCGCTGCGTCTTCTTGGAGGGCGTATTTCCTTTTGGCCGATAGGCACGGGCTTGGGCAGAATTTTCTGCCGGAATGTGGGGGGAATGGCGGAAGGTCAAGTCCAGTCGCAAGAATCTGCCAAACGTCAGGTAGGTCCTCCAGTTGGTGCCCTTTTTTTTGGTGGTCTATTTTAGTAGGGGGACCCTCCCCCAAAAAAGTTGGTAAAAGGGCACTACTGGGGGACCTAGTCAGGCAACCAGCTTGGAGTCGGTTACTTCATGCCGAGTTCGGTATCACTCAACAAGGCCCTGGGGTTGCAAGCTGCTCAGGCCTCTTGAAAAAATCGTATGCCATTTGGATTGGGTGAGGCTTCCGGCCAATCCGACCCAATCGGACCCACCACAAACGCAGCGAACACTTAAACGCCCGGAGCCTCAAAGCACGTGCAGGGGAAATAGCTCAACCCAGATTCTCTTCAACCAAATTAACACCCCGGCCCACTCGCCCAAGACCTAAAACGCAGGAACTGCCGCGAAAAGTGTCTGGTTGCCATGTTAATGTCTGTCACTTCAGAGTTTTTGAGCCGAGTTTTGGGCACCATCTGCCACTGGAACCAACACCAAACGCAAACAACCCCTCAGGCACTGGACAACAACCCACTCAAACCCCAACTAGGTGTCAGAAAAAATGGCCCTCTCTTTGAGCTCAAGCTTGAAATGGCTGTGGGTCAAAATCCCGGTTAGCCCCCAGTGAACATCCCAATCCAACCACTAAACTAGACCAAAATGGCTGGTGCACCTACCCCAAAATGGTAACGTTGGTATTGACCCACAGCCAAATCTACAACGCCAGCCACGTCCCCACCCCCACCTCCCCGTTTCAGCCACACCGAGCTCGTCTCAAGCTTTGGCGCCTGGTGTGCCAGTTTGGCCAGCGCCGTGGCGGTGAAGTACAGCGGCAGCGACGCCGGGACCCCCAGGATCTTCCTAACGACGGGCTGAAATCGCGCGCGCCACTTCTCCAAAGTTCTCGGGCGCCAGTCCTTTCCAAAAGGCTCCTTGCAAGTCCTTTTTCAGTTGAAAAACCACCTTCTCTTCTTTTTTTTCGGGGAACCCGAGTGAAACAAATACTTTCGGGTCGTCATTTCCCTTGAAACCACCAGATCTTTCTATGGGGCCCAACCCAAGTGGAAAATAAAAGACTTTCGGGTCCCAGTGTCCTTCTTCTTGAAACCACCAATTAGCGGCTGGTCTTGATGATGTCATTGCTGTAGATTGATCAGTAGGTGGCTAGTACTCGACAAGTTTAAGAGCTTCAGTAACGGCCTTAGTTGAGGGTAAATTGGAGCTTTCGGGTGTTGCCAAAAACCTGCAGTCTCGGGGTTTGTAGGTTGGCCCTTGTTTTTGGAGAAGCTGCCATGGTCGAACTCCCACTGTGCAGGTCATGATTTCCTGATTGCATTGCCTTCCACTTGCGCACAGTACCCCTATACAAGACATACATGTATCAGTTATATTCAGTTCCCTCCAAAGAAAGCCCTGGACAAAAAACGAAGACACCTCCAAGAGAAGGCCTGCTTGTCCTAAATCCATGGGGATTGATGACCATCCTAGTCTTACGGCGCAGATCCAGTGTGCAACCGAGGGTCGTAGACATGTCGATCTCGCGGACATTCACCAAGATCCGTGGGCGCATGGTGATCCTCTGGAAGGCCAAATGGTTGTCGCGGAGCGTGATCTCGTCATCACCTAAGCAACCGAGAGGCAACTTTCCCAGGACATGTTGTTGGAAAGCTGGAAATATCGGGGCCCGCTTTGGGTGCCCAAAGCCACCCGCCAAGTGGCAGGCAAGGATAATGGCCATTTGCAGTTTGTGATACAAACATCTCGAGATACACTGGACTGGGCGAAGATGAAGCTTTTACACCACCAGGTATACTGCACAGGGTTGTGGGAAATGGAATCCACTTCTGTGATACAACAGAAAGGGCTTCCCAAAGACTAACACCCCATATACAGGGGGAGATTCCCTTGTAGAAGTGGGAATAAACCCTTGATTCCACAACCCTGCTGCACATAGTGCCTTCAAAACGTCGAACACCAAGCTGGTTTGCCTCAAAAGCGGGGCTGTCCCAAATCTGTGGCTTCTAGGCTGTCCTTCAACGCCCCCCCCCCAAAAAAAAGGAACCCTGAAAACAGCCACAGCCAAACAAACATGCGAACCTAAAGAACATGCGAAAAAGGAAACAAATCAAAGCAAATGCGAGGGGTCTTGGGTAAAGCTTTTACAATGGGCATTTGTTATAGCTCTTTTTCGATGAATTTTACATTGGCCAACACCGCTTCCAAACATCTGTGGCTTTTACCATCATGATTAGACTTAGGCCCAGTTGTAGAATGTATATTTGTTGTTGTTTGCTTCCCTTTGATGGAAGAAACCAACAACAGGACATTCTACAGGAACCCCCTGACTTTGGTGGGTATTTGGCTAAGTCCCTGTCGAATTTCCTTTAGCTGGTTTCTATGATTGTAGCCACTGGTAAAAACAAAAAAAATGCCTCCCAAGTCTACCCCATGGGTCTCTTGTCATTCTCCTCATCCGAGGCGCCGCCGCTGGAGTAGTAGCCCCAGGCCTGGGGCTCCATCACCTGGAAAAAAAACGATTAAACCAAAAACAACGATAAACATTTTGTGTTTATTTAAACAAAACACCAAAAAAACGATACACTTGTATTAAAAAAAAAAAAAACGGGTTCGACCAGTCCCAATCCGTCCGTCCGTCCGTGTTGCCTGGTGCCGGGGCCTCGTGTTCCGAAGACGTCTTACGTCTGTTTTGAGCAAGTGGCTCATCTACCTTCTGGAGGATTAGACATAAACCCATCCCCACCACTCGTGTGGTTCTAGCTCCTGGATGTTCTAACCATCCTGCCAATGAACCACTTTCCTAAAGGGACCGGGTCCTGAACGTCAGGTTCCATGTTGGGAGGGCAAACCCGGCATAGGATTCATCTGACAAATGATCAAAACTGATTGGCAATAACATGGACCCAAAAACATGGCGAGGGCACCCATTTATGGCTGGGACTATCCTACCCTTCATCTACCCGGGATTTGAGCAAGCTCATCTACCTTTTAGCGAGTATTTATAAGCCATGAGCCCTGGGTCCAAATAGGAGTTATCTAGTTTACAGTGGAATTTTTATTGGACTTTGATGTTTAGTTAGTTAGAATCTAACTTGGACTTTCTTGGGCTTTATTGTTTTTCACACTTAGAATCTAACTTGTGCAGGTGCTGTGCGATCTCAAGCCTTCACTGGCCCGGCTTGGAACGCTTGCCCTCCCCCCCCCAACATATTCGAACTGTCAATGCCGCCACTTGCGATGAGGCACAAAAGGAGGGGGGGCTCGTGTTGAATGTTCGAGGCACGTTTGGACATTCTGCCATGTTCTAACTACGTGCCCATCACTATAAACAGGTGTGGTCTCTTTCCCCAATGTCCCTCTTCTTCTGCATCAGCTTGCGGGCCAAAATATTACACGCCGCTCATTTGGGAATAGGATCCCGGAAATGGCTTGTTTCGCAATCGGTGTCCTTCAAACATCCAAAATTCCGAAACAGCTTTGTACTAGAAGGATTGCCATCTGGTCTGTTGACGCATTTTTTCCCAAGGGAGCGCCAAGTTGCCATGGGAATCCCTGGACGTGCTACGAGGGAAAGGGTCGATCCAACCACGTCGATCATGGATGTTCAGAGAAGGGGACCCTGGCAGCAAGCCGAATTTGCCGCATTCGCTTCAACAAGCCATGCAACGTCCAGAGGCCCCTTGCCCTTGTCGGAAAATCAAGGACCGCAAAAACAAACTGATGAACTGCCGGGCTGCTGAACTAGGGCTGGACATTCGTGGTTAAACAGCAACTCCGTCTTTCCTGCTGCTTTTTATGTTCTTTCCGGGTCCTGCAGACTGTTGAAAAGAAAAGCTAAATGGGCTATTCTCGCTCTCTTGCTGAAGGGCTGACGGTTTGTCAGGGGAAGAGCAGAAGCTAAGACCTCAAGCCCGGCAATTGTTGAGTGGGTATAGCGAGTAACACCAAAGGCTCTCAAACCATTGCGGGTCGGTGTTTGGTCAAAATTCCTCTCTTCCAGGGGGATCTGGACCGCTGAGTAAGAAGTGGGGGGTTGACTCACGTGGCAACACAAAAAGAGGGTAGGTTTGAGGGGGCTCCTGTACGGCAGGAAATATAAGCAGTGCCCACTCACCAGACATGGAAGTGCAGAAGTCACTTGCGCAAAGGCAGAGTAGCCATCCCAAACGGGGCTGTGCACTTCCATATTTTGGCTGCAAGCAGATCAGCGCCCGACCGAAAGCAGATCACGCCTCCCGGGCAACAGACTCGAAGTCGAAGCTGTTCAGCATAGCCTCGGACGCGCAACCAACTGAACACACACACAGAACAAAAAAAAAGCACTACAAGTCACTGACTGCCATACTTGAGACAAACTGTTTTTCAAAGAGGGGCGCTATAAACTCAAAAGGAGGTCCCTTGAGAACTGTGCTGTTCCCACACCTGAGAGCAGAATTCTCTAAGACCCTTCACGAACAAGCTCGTAACTGGGCTGTCCTCAGATCCCCCGCTAAAAGTCTAACTTTTAGTGGGTTAATGGACATCCCCACCAAACACTAAAAGGCTGAAACGCTAAGGGGATGGCTGGGAGCCACCAAGGTAATTGAGCCCTGAGCTCGCTTCATTTGGTGAATATCTTTTCCCGTGCACCACGTCTTGAAGACCGTAAGGCCTTTGGACCTGCAGCAAAGCCAAACAAACCAAGGACATCCGCGGCTCAAGAACTCTCCGGTGATCTTCCCTCAACTAGGTCCTCCAGTAGAGAAGTTGGAATAAGTTGGTGCCCTTTTTTCTGTAGTCTAGCAGGGGAACCCTCCCCCATAAAAGTTGGTAAAAGGGCACTACTGAGGGACCTAGTAAACCTAAACCTGGGTCTTACAAAAGTCGCATGAGCTTGAAGCTACTCAGCAGATGCTGGTTTCTTTGTTTGGGAGGGACGCAGTCCTTTTGGGGCTTGTTTTTTTTTGGTCCCCGCTTGTTCGGGGGGGGGAGGGCGAAGGAGCAAGCTTCTTTTGGAGGCGCTTTGGCCTCATCCTCTGGGCAGCCCTGGTGAGCGTTGCGGTGGCATGAGCTCAGTTCAGGCGTTGTTTTTTTTCTGTCCTTGAACTGAACAGGACCCCCTTTGGATGGCGATGGAAACCAGAAGGAAACCGACCAGCTTGCTGGGCATCTACCCCTCCGTAAGCAAGTGAATAAGTTTGTCATTGGATTTCTTCGCACGGTCTCCTACAATAACCTCCCCAAATCAGATCCAGTCACAGACATAATTTGGAAGGTCTACTTGAGTATTGGACAATACTACTTGAGTATTGGGCAATACTACTGTTGAATTGTGAATGAGGATTCCAGAACTCCAGATGGATTCCAAAGACAGCTTCGGTCCATGTTTCCATTTGATTTAGTATTGCTGGAATTTCCATTTGAATCTGGTTTGAGCATCAACTTATTCAATTGTGTATAGTTGGACTTGAGTATCCAGTAGATTTAGCATTGTGGGATTTTCAAATGACATTTGATTTAGTATTGCTGGAGCTCAAAATTGGGGTGCGGCCCTGGTCGCAAAATCCATAACATGTGGCTCCCACATTGTCAACATGGCCTGGCACTCATTACCTCATGTGACCTTCTCAAGCAGCTTCGCGAAAGGGATGCGCATCAGAAAGCCACACGCTTTTTCCGGATTTCGGGGAGCTCGGGCCGCTGTTGGCTAATGGCTCTGGGCTGTGCGCGAAGTAGTGCAGAGCTGGCACTGGCATCGTTTCTTGGCAAAGCACGTGGAAAGCAGATGTCAAGGCCTGAAAGCAGCAACCACTGAGGATTTGAACTTCCTTTTTTGGGGATGGGGCCTCCTCATCTTTGGGTCGGTTGTGGGGACCGCTCTGATAAACATGTGGTTTTGTGGAAGAAACACTTATTTTCATGAAGTCCAGTTTCTCAAAATGTTTGGTTCTGAGGAGGGGTCCTGCGAAAACCGCTCTAACAACACGGGACAATGAGTCCTATGTTAACATTACGCTCAAAGGGAAATGTACGGGCAGAGGCCCTTTTTGGGCGGAAGCCCATCGCACGTTTCTTGGGGGGTCGGGATACCAGCATGAACCAAAATGTGGTCCAAACAAGGCCGAAATCTTCTGACAGCCCACAAAATCACCCCTCTCCAGTCAAACCAAAAGGGGGTTGCCTGCTTTCACCTGAGTCCCTATAGAGTCCCAGCGCTTGTGAGCGCCTCACGTCTCAACTCTCAAACACCAAAAGCCGCGCGTGAAGTCGAGCCGCCGCAAGCGGCGGCTTCTTGAACTCTTCGACCTCCTCTTCCGCAGCATCCGCCTTGACCTCAAAAGCGTCCCAGTGGAAACGAGTCGCTGCGCAAGAGCTTCCAAACTATTGGAGAACAAAAAGGGGTCCCCTATTTTGAGACACCCGCATGTGTGTGTGTGTGCGAAAGTGCGCCTGCGCCCGCTTGAATTCTTCTCTTGGCCCGCTTTAAAGGGGACCCCAGCGCAACCAACTGCTTGGACCAAGCTTCCGCCTTCTTCTTGGGCTTGGGCTTGTGCGCCTGGCAAAGACTCGGAGAAAAAAAAACGCCGCCCGAGCAAGCGGACAACCAATTGCCCAGGTGCAAGTGACTGGGGGCCCGTGGTTTCGCTGGAAGTTGGACCTGTGCTTTTGTTAGCTCGAAATGTGGGAAACCGTTTTGTGCAGCCGGAAACCAGTACACTGCAATAGGGGAAGAAACGAAGAAACGAGGAGTGAAAAAGGGAAGCAAGCATTGCGCTAGTAGGACAACAGGTTGGAAAGCATCGAAATACCGTAAGTTTTGTGGCTGGATGTGGTTGGTTCACTTTCAACATTTGGGAAATCCATGGGTAGGTGTCGATCGCCAACCAAAATCTCCAAAGGAGGAGTTGAAATGCCTTGAAATCTCCATGGTTCTCCAACAACGGATCCCTGGTCTGGAGTCTAGAACGATTGCTCGAATGGGGGCTGAGGTGCGACAGGGACGTTCGACAGGATTCTCTGGAGCGCTTGAGAACCTTCAACTGGACCCATGCATTTACCATGTCCAAAGTCACCCCCAAGTTGTAGGTCAAAGGGAAACAACCCTCAACCCAACACAGCCAACTTAACGACTTGGGGTGAATGCAAAACTGGCGGGCGGTTTTCACAAGGGTTTCAACCCAACAAAGGGGGAACTGTCCCCTCGCCAGGAACATGTACTGGCATGGGCTCTTTCAGCCAACCCCCGCCTCGCCAAACATTTAATGTGGCTGGGGGGGGGAAACACCATATGGGTTTGTATTTTTTAGGGTGGCCGGGCAGGAAGGTTTGAGTACGGGGTATGATTCGCAGGTATGATTCGCGGATATGATTCGCGGGTATGATTCGCGGAAGCAGCAGCAGCAGTAGTAGTACTAGCAGTAGTCGCCGAAGTAGTAGTACTAGTAGTGATATTCTAGTAGTAACAATAGTAGTAGTAGTAGCAGTAGTAGTAGTAGTAGAAGTAGTAGTAGTAGTAGTAGTAGTAGTAGTAGTAGTAGTAGTAGTAGTAGTAGTAGTAGTAGTAGTAGTAGAGGTTAGTAGTAGTAGTAGTAGTAGTTGTTGTTGTTGTAGTAGTAGTAGCAGTAGTAGTAGTAAATAGTAGTAGCAGTAGTCCTAGTAGTAGTAGTAGTAGTAGTAGTAGTAGTAGTAGTAGTAGTAGTAGTAGTAGTAGTACTAGTAGTCGTAGTAGTAGTAGCAGTAGTAGTAGTCGTAGTAACAGTAGAAGCACCGACTGTAGTGGCGCGGAAGCTTTGAAAAGACTTGGCGCTGGCCTTGGCAAGGCAAGTTCATTCCGCGGGTATGATTCGGGTATGATTCGCGGGTATGATTCGGCTAGGTGCAAAACGGCACTGATTACAAACTCGTAGTAGCTGCTGTGGTAGTACTAGTAGTAGTAGCAGTAGTAGTGGTAGTAGTAGTAGTAGTAGTAGTAGTAGCAGTTGCAGAAGTAGTGGTAGCAGCTGTAGCATAAGCAGCAGCGGCTGTAGTGGTGCGGACGCTGTGAAAAAGACTTAGCACTAGCCTTGGCAGGGGAAGCTCATTGTCCGGGTATGATTCGGGTATGATTCGCGGGTATGATTCGGCTAGGTGCAAAACGGCACTGATTACAGACTCAGAATGATGTATGTGGTAGTAGTGAGTAGTTGCAGCAGCAGCAGCAGAAGCAGGAGTAGTAGTAGTAGTAGTAGTAGTAGTAGTAGTAGTAGTAGTAGTAGTAGTAGTAGTAGTAGTAGTAGTAGTAGTAGTAGTAGTAGTAGTAGTGACAGTGGCAGAGGTACTGGTAGTATTGGGTAGCGCTGGTGGTGGTTGTTGTGGAGACAGTGAACAACACAAAACGGTAGAAGAAGAGTAGCATCTCGCAGCATACGTTTTAAGGGGTATGATTCGGGGGTATGATTCGGGGTATGATTCGGGGGTATGATTCGGGGGTATGATTCGGGGAGGTTCCACCTTCTGCCTTTTGAAGCAACTCAACACACCAAAAAAGGACAAACCCATATATTATTGTAGGGGACCGTGCGAAGGAATCCCAATGACAAAATTACACGTACTTACAGGAGGAATAGGTGCCTGGCATCTGCTGGATCAGGGTGCCCAGCAAGCTGGGTTCAAATTGAGATGAACCCAAAAAGGGGGTACCGCAAGAGAAGACTCCCTTCAAATTGAGTTGGATCTTTTGTCCCCAGCTGAAATCTACATGGTCTCTGCCCAAGTAAGCTCTTGGCTTTGGGGCAGCTTTCAGGGGCTTGAGAGGCTTCCCGGCGCTGGCTCGCTCACACCTGGCCCTTACCGAGGGAAGTATTCCTTGCTGGTGCGACAAGTAGGGAATGAGAATTGGAATGCCCCAAACAACAACCATCCAACCGGTGGTTTCCTTTAGGGGATCCCCAAAACCGGTTCATTCAACCACATTCCCTATCGCAGCAACGAACCCTGGGGTTGGGCCAAAGTTACCTAGGCCAGTTGTTGTTAAAAGAAGAAGGAAAAAAACAAAACGAGAAACACACACAAAAACACGGGTCATTCCATGTCCCATTGCCACTTATCGCATCAAGATTCACTTCGCAAGAAAAGACGACGTTCGGAGCGCCTCAGGCGGCTTCGCCACGTGCTCCGGCTTGATGGTTGCCACATCCACAACCTGAGGGCTCCAAATGGGTGGCTCAAGTCGTGGTTTTCTTCCCCTTTTCGCTGGGATGTAAAGGGAAACCAACAGCAAAACCGCCATTTTGGGGTCCCCTAAAGGCAAGCCGGAGGAAACAACACCATTGTGGGGGGGTCCCCTCAAGAAAAGAACCCCAAATCCCTGAAAAATGTGGACATGTTTGGAGCTTCTGCCTCCATGGAACACCAAAGGCCCCGAAGGGTTCATTCGATGTTGAGCCGCCACGGACCCCCCGAAAAGTCGACGGAAAAATCGTAGGGTTCCCAGACACAAATGCAGAAAACCCCCCTATTGGGAGGCTTGGAGGGACTTCTGATTTTGACACAATGGACCCCGGCTAGGGGCTATGGGGAGACCCCTGAAATCAAGCCTCATTAAGGGCTTATCCCTGGCTTCTTCAAGCGGTCCATGACACCAGACAAAGGGGCTTGGGAACTCGCCCGCAAAAACCAAATGCGTCCGAATCTTGACGAGCGCGGACCCGCTGTTTTTGCCTCAAACAGGACTTGACATGAAGAGAAAAACAAATCAAGAGTCGACCATCTTCCGCAGCATGGTTGCGAAACCAACATGTGAACCTAAAGTGATTCTTTATCCTGCAATATACGAGGCTTCACATTGTGGATCCTCCCTTCAAGTCGTCTACTGACCTGCACCAAGCTGCCGTCAATGATTAGCAGCCAAAACCCAAGGCAGCTGGTTCCAGCTCTTGACTGGTTTTGGCTTGGTCTCCAGTACTGTGCCTGGGCTGGTTTCTTGCTCTTGATTGATTGCTTTGGATTGCTAGCACAAGGAACAACAAACACTTCAACTGTCCCTTTTCCGACCGCCGCCTTTTGCAACAGAGACATGACTTGAGGAAACACATCCGTCATCCGCCCCAGTCTTGCGAGGTTCAGTTCTGAGCGTACCTTTCCTACACTAATTGTTGGCCCCCCCTCTGATCCCCTTTTGACCTGCTTTTCACTTCACTTTTTCTAGGTACGCTTCTGTTTCGCACCCTGACCCATTCTGACAAGACGCTGTGTTGCGAATTTCACCCGTTGTTGCCACTGTTCCGACCCTGGGAAGGGCAATCCACCAAAGCCGCATCCAATCCGTGAACAGCCTGAGCCCCTCCCCCCCGTCGTTGAGGCCGTGAACGCCCATCGTGAGAGCTGGCTTCAGAAGCTTGTCCATGATGTCCTGAAATCAATAGACGCAGCCAGGAAATCAAGGCTGGGACAGCCCGTGGTCAAAACGGTCAAAAGTGTCGTTTACAAGATCCACCTTTGTTTTTCTGTGGGAGCAGGGGTGGGCTCTCCCAAAACGCAAAGAAAGCAGCCCAGGGTTCTCGGGGGGCCGCAACTATTCCATACCCTCTCGCAGGGTTTGCCTCCAAATGTAGGAAAATGATGGAAAAGACACAAATATGAGTTTGCGTGTGGCTCCCTTCAACCCAACCCACCAAAACAGGGCTCTCCCAGAAAAAAAACAGATCCCTATCTGCACCTTCCGCATGGACAACAATAACGCCTTCAGAAAGAAACATGTAAAACAGCCTGACCGGACGCCCATTTCTGCCGTTTCCGCCGGATTTGGCACCCCCCGTGTTTCTTCAAAAAGCCCTAAACGCACCACTGAATTGCACGTAAGATAAGCAGGCCCCCACAGGAGTTTCAACGTCGCTTGAGTTGATGAGTTGCCCTCCAGGCGCGAGCCAAACAAGGGGTGACACCTCGACAGGCTCACAGATTGAAAGGAACACGTAGCCAAAAGCCTCCCAGCTGAGCGCAAGTAAGCATTCTCAGGTCCACAAAGACAACGCATGCGACAAAAAAAAAGAAACGCCGGATCCCATGACCTGAGTCACAGAAATTTGCCTGTGGACGCAAAAGGACGCCGGTTGCAGTCTTAAATTTCAGCCGGAAGGTTCAGTGGTCTCCTCCTTATCAATTAATTTGGCCACTCACCCTGGTCCAAGGCAGGGTTGTCCTTTTTAGACTTCTCAAGGGAATCCTAAGGGAGGTATGCCAAGCTCAACAAAAAACCGGCTCGGCCAAAGGACCACTTGGCAAACCGTTTTGCACAGGGTTCTCCAGCAGCCCCGCTGCTGCCAAGGAGGAAACCCAAACAGTTTGCAGGGGAAAGCCCATACGCTTTCTTCCAAGGTGACTAAAAGGACCGCAAAAGGGCAACCAACAAGGTTGGTCTCCAGATGCGGAAACGCCCCGTCTTGTTCTCCTAGTTTCCCTACCCCAAGAAGCCCCCTTAAGCGGTTCCTTGGGGTGGATGGGGTCGAACTGGGCCGTGGCGTCCATGCCGGCCACGTCTGTGATCAGCTTGGCGCCGCCGGGGTGCACCTTGGCGAACTTCGTGAGGTCGTAGGCCTGGCTTCAGCACCCGCTCCAACCGAAGCAAAAGATCAGGTGACCAGACTCCCCTCCTCGTGGCCGGACGGGGAGCTTGAGGATACCCCCAGTACCCTATGAGGGCACCCGGATACACCCAGTACCCTATCACCCCCGCTTTGCCATCCCTTGCCCTTTGCTGGGGTGGCCATTGTTTAACACTGCTTGAACCGGTCAGGGTGCAACTCACTGAGCCGTGGCTTGATGCGGTTCTCTTTTTGGAGCCGCCTTTCAGCTGCCTCATGGATTGCTGCCAAGCCAGGACTATGCCCACCAATTTTCTGGGCTCCCGTTATACATAAACACCTGGCTGTTTTGGACCATTTGGGGTGCCACGAACGCAAAAAAGCAACAACAAAAAAAATATACACCAGCATAGACCCCAGATAGCGAAAACATGCCGACAATTGTACACCAGCACCTCCAACAGCACCCCCCAAACAGCACCCGGCCGTCAATCTTGCAGAAATGCGCCCGCGCCGTCACCCCGAACCCGAACAGCACCCCCCAACAGCACCCCCAAAAAGCACCCAGCCATCAATCTCGCGAGAATGCGCTCACGCCGTCACCAGCACCTAACAGCACCCCAAGCAGCATCCCAAAGCACCACCCGCACCAGCACCCCAAACTGTATGCCTGCTTGCACCCTACCGTCAATTTTGCAAAAATGCGCCCGCACCGTCACCTGCATGTACGCTAGCACCCGGCCGTCAATCTCACCAGCACCTCAAACAGCGCCCCAAACAGCACCCCAAACAGCACCTACACCAGCACCCAAACTGTACGCCCCCTAGCACCCTCCCATCAATCTCGCAAATCACTTTCCCCTTTTTATTAGAAGTTAGAACCCCTATAGCGTTCAGCTATCTGGTGAAAACACACACACACACACACACCCGGCCTTGCCATAAAGCACCACCCAGCAATCCTCCTGTCACGGCTTGAGAGTGTGCAATCAGTTTGCGAGTCACAACCAAAAAGCCGATCGGGAAAGCAAGTTCTCCAAAACGCTGATACAGCCCATCCCCTCGTTTTTTCTGGAACATTTGGTTTGTGTCACAGCTCCTTGGTGTTGTGCTTGGCCACCTCCTCCATACTCAGCACCTGGCGGCAGCAAGAGATGCGCTGCAAGGAAACCCCAAACACAGGAAAACCCCGGGACCGGACAAAAGTGCACAAAGTGCAAACTACATTCAGATTGACTGAAGTCTGGCTCGTGTTGTTCTTCTTGTTTCTGTTCTTGTGGTGTCGAATGCCTCTGCTTTGGTTCTCTTCACTTTTGGTGGGGGCTCCCAACATACCTTGCCTAGTATGCCGAAGGTTGCTCAGATGCCCTGGGAAAAGAATCGCCAGCCTTTTTTGGGAAGGATTGAATTTAAAGGAATCGGCGGAATCGGAATGTCTTTTAAAAAAGCCGGGTTGAGTTTAAAGGAATCGGAACCCTTCCCCAAAAAAGCCGAAACAAGGAAGCAACCCACTGGGCAACAGAGGTTGGGAAGTTGATGTTCGTCCAAGCTCCCAAAGAGGTCGAGACCCGGGACTCGTGAAAGCCATCAGACCGGCCAGACCGGAGTGATCAGACCGGAGCGAAGGCTCCAAAACCGTTTAGGTCACAATCAAACCTAGTATCTTACATTTGGTTAAGACCATGGAACAAACATATATATATATATATATATATGTCCAGTAGTGATAGATTCCCTTTGAAACCAACAGGGGAAATAAACGATACTCTTACGCAAATGGAAGGTAAGGTGGACTCAGAATTCACCCAATTTCCTTTCATCCGGGGTCGACATTGTGCAAAAAGGTCTGCCCAGGATGTCAAGACGCGGAAACCGCTTCGAGGGTCTTGGACCTTTTGCAGCCGAAAAGAAGCAAAGAGTGACTAGGTCCTCCAGAGAGGTTAGGGTTTAGGTTAGGGTGCCCTGAGGATGTCAGCTGGTTCTTACTATGTCTAGGTCCTCCAGTAGAGAGGTTAGGGTTCTCTTTTTGTCTGCAGTCTGTTTTAGTGGGGGAACCCTCCCCAAGAAAAAGGGGTGAGAAAGGGCACCTAGCTGGGGGACCTAGGAGCACTTTGAAAGGAGCCTGAACAGGGGCAGTGCACTTCTTTTGTTGAGTCACAAAGGTCCTTCGAACAAACACCAAGCCGATCCTATCCATAAATTGCTGAAAGTTGCGCGTCGATTAGAATCCCTGCGTCCAGAGGCTCGCCCTGATTTAGTAGCCTCGTGTTGCGCGTGGTGCACTTCTGCGACGTTGGCCCTTTGACATTATTCAGCACCCCAATTGGGAAGTAGAGTTTCAGCTTGGAGCACGCGCGTTCCCTTACTTAGCAAAGATCTTGTGAGCTCATTCGCATTCATTCCCTTTTTTGGCATCAGCCCTTCTGGGCCGCATTGATTCGGTCTTGGGTCTGAAGGTACGCCTGTCTCATAGGATCACGTGGTTATGCGTGCAGTCTGTAGGTACGCCTGTTGTGGGTGGGTTCACTTTGTTGCAGTACGCCTGTTTCAGCGAGCGCTTCTCATTTGAGGGCCGTGGATATACGCCTGTTGCGGGTTTGCATATCATTTGGCCGGCGGCCTGCGGCCTGCGTCACTTGGCGGTGGGCGCAGTCTGAAGGTTCGCCTGTTGCTGCTGCTCGTGTCATTTGGCCTGCCGGGCGGTTGCACGCAACACGCAAGTACCTCGTCTTGCAGGGCGGTGATGCGAGCTGCTTCCATCATTTCCACTGGGCAAATCGACCCATTTCAAGAAGCTGCACGAATTGCTACTTGCGAGAACCAGCATCGTTCATTCCACTTGCGAGAAGCTAAAACAAAGAGAAACCTGTTCATGCATTGGGAGCTCAGTAGGGACCCTATGTCATCTTCATCTCTGCCCTCGACCCTCTCCCTCATCTATTCTTTGCCCCCCCATCTCCCTTCTTGTTCAAACGTGTTGAAACCACGACTCCAGCACAACTATTTACACAACATCATTTTAGATTCTCCTTGCAAGCGGGGCTGGCAGGGTCCGGTTGTTTGTACAGATTTGCAGCCAACCCAAGTCGAGCTTCCGCTCAAGAGGCCCGAATCTCCGAGTTGCCGGGCCTTGTCAGAGGCCATGGCTGAGTCGAAAAGAAGGACAGTTGGCAGATATTGAGCCGAAAACTTCTGCGAGACTCCGATTTCTGTTCTTGGCAAAGCTTTCTTGTCAACACAAGATGGCCAGGCCTCCGTCAGAATCATGGAGGAAAGAGACGCCCATCCCCCCTCAATCCTATACACAGCGCCCAGATCTATGGATTTTGATGAGCGGCTCAAATGAGAGTCGTTCGACCCCTGGGCCCAAAGTAAAACCCAGGCTGTTTCTGTGCAAGAAAAAACGATTAAGCCAAAAGAACGGACAGAAGGAAGACCCAAGTAAAGGACCATAAGCTTGTTCTCACGGGTGGGCTCTTCCTATTTCACCAACCCGAAATGGACCAGGTTTCAAAGATGCCACACAGCGTGTGCGACCTGAAACCCTGTTATCCGCTCGACCGGTCCCCTGAAGTGTTGCGGGGAACACCCATCCGCATACTGTGAGGAGCGGTATAATTCGAACGGCCCGTTGAGTTACCAGCGAAATGGTAGCTGGGTTGACGTTGACAGGGGAGTAAAAATTCTCAAATTTTAGCAGTTAAGTGGGGATTTCAACCACTAAACCACAACAAGCAAAAATGCAAAAGGTTTCCCAACGACAACCATGGGGGAGGAAAAACCACCTTGCGACTTCGGAGTTTTTAGGTTTCGAGACTCTTGTTTTCGGCGTCGATTTCTTGGGGTTATCTGCAGATCCCTACTCGTGGCCCAAGATTGGTGTGCCAGTTTTTTTCTTTCGAAACGGGACCCACACAATGATCAATCGTCCTATCCTTCTGGTTGTCCTGTACTACCAAACAAGGGGGCATCCCCCCCCAGAAGAGGTACCTTAGTAGGGGAACACTCCGCACCCAAAAAACGGGGTGAGAGCTCGGGCACCTAGCTGGGGGACCTAGATCAGGTCCTTGGAAAATCCTCCAGCCCCGCGCCGGCCAGGGCTCGCCGGGTGTGCCGGCCTCGTCCTCCGCGACGCCGCAGGACACGCTCAACCGGCTCTTGTGGATGATCTTCACCGCGCGCCTCACGCCTGCGATCGATCTAACCCACAAGAAATCGCAGGGCCAAGCTGGTTTGCACCAAGAGCCTCAAACTTCCATTTGGTTAAGACCCCTGGAAAACATAAAGACATGTCCAGTAGTGATAGATTCCCTTCAAAACCAACAGGGGAAAAAAATAAAAATATTCCTAAGCAAATGGAAGCAAACGGAGGGTCGACTTTTCATTTCGGGCGTGCTTGAAAGCCCGAAAATGGATGGTGGGAACCACTAGCCTCAAGATTTCAGCTTCCCAGATTCAGCAAAAAAAGGAAAGCAGCAGGGATGCTGATGCCAAAACCCGATTTATTCCAGGAGCTGTCCTCAGATCCCCCGCTGAAACTTTAACCTTGAGTGGGTTAAATGGAAATGCAACTACTCTAAAAAAAGTCAAAAAGCTAAGGAACCGGATGGCTGAAGCAAGTTTCCAAACCGCTGGCCAGAACCTGCCGCATTGCGTGAGCCATCGACTGTACCAGAACATCTCCCCAAGGGGAGGAGGCATCTGTCACGACCCCTCTGGAAAAAATGAAAAACACGGTCTGTGGGTCCAATACGGAAAATCCGAGCTGTTCTAACCACAAGTTGAATCCAACGATTCAACCAAAAAGCCATAAAGCCTCGCCCCCACTTTGAAGCATGCTGGTACTCAAAATCAAGAAGCACTCGAAAGGGTCCCATTCTGACTGGGAAATGCCCTTGGGTATTGGTTTGCCTGTGCACACCCTGGAGAAATGCCGGAAAGGTGGAAACCCGAAACGCAAATAAAACTAGCACGGGTATCGCACCATGATCCACATGTGCATTTGTCCCCTTGTAACTTGCGCACTTTGTGAGTAAACCCAAATCTGTCCTCTTGCTAGATTTCCTTTAAACATGTCGTTTTTTACCCCCTTAGCCTATATGACACAGGCCTCCTATGCGTAGTGAGGGCGAAGCTCCTGCCATAGATTTCACGGTATGCCCACCACGGATGCACCCGGGCCTAGGGACCGGTGGAACATGGCGTAGACCTCGCCGTACGCGCCCTCGCCCAGCTTGGGCCCCTGGAAGTAGTACCTGGATTCATAGAAACCGGCTACTCTGGGGGGGGAATTCCTTTTTCATCCGTTCCAACCATCGTTCTTTTCAAAAACCAGCTCTCTTTTTTTTCTGGGTCTCCGGCGGTTTTCTAGAAAGATTCGGATCCCTGGAAAGAATGGAAATGGAAGGTACCCCTAGAGCTACAGGACTTTCTACAAGTTCGCCAAATACCCACCAAAACTAGGATTTTCCTGTAGAATTTCCTGTAGTTGGTTTCTTAGATATATTAAAAAAACAAAAAACGGACCAGGGCACCCTGTCGATGCATCGGGTATGTTGCAGGTACACGTTGTCCTTTACTCGTGCAAAGGGCAGGCCTACCAGAGAAAGCGCCATGGAACAGCGGACGCGATCAGGCTTGCTTCAAACATGGGTTTCCAGAAATTCAGAGGAACAACCAGAACATTGTAGTCTGGTTCATAGTGCTTGATACGAACAAAACAAAGACCTGGAACAGCTCTTAAATCAACTCACCAGTGGGCTCCAGCCCACACCACATGCCACTTGGGACAGAACTAATGCACGCCACAGGTTTTGGATAGGGGGTATCCTTAAAACATTACCCCATCAAAAAAATCATGCATAGTTGGTAGCCCCACCCACCAGACCAAGAAACAGGAGACTTGCCCTCCTACCAACAAGCATGGAACTGAACAGACCCCCTTTGATCCCAAGCATTCCTGTGCACGTCACCCCAACAATTTTCAAGAAACAATATCTGGGCGAATTATCATGTTTCACCAACCTGACATCAGGGCAATTCCCCACATAAAACCACCATTTGGGGTGAATTCGGTCGTGTGAGGTCGTCATAATTCACCCAGACGATTTTGGAGTGGCTAGGTCCTCCAGTAGAGATATTAGAATAAGGGTACCAACTTTTTCTGCAGTCTATTTTAGTAGGGCAACCCTCCCAACCAAAAAAGGGTAAAAGGGTAGGAGTTCGCCGTTGAAGTCTCCCAACTGTGGGCTGATGCCACGTCCGAAGGAAACTCGCCGCGCGATAAAGCGAAGAGCTGAGGCCGGCGCTGCTCTTCCGGGCTCACGTCCCAACTCTGATGCCTCACGCAGTTGTTTTTGGCGACCCGCCGTTCAACTGAGCCAAAAACAAAACGGTATCCACAGGTGGCCGTTTGGAAAAATGGATGGGTTCCCCTGGGAAATGGAATAAACCCCATCTACACCAGTGGCACCCGTCTATTTTTAACCAAACTAACCTAGGTATCCCTCACAGCAGCCCCGGGAAGCTTCCGGAACCCCGGAGCCGCTCACCACATTTGGGCAAAGACCCGCAAACTGTCAGCCCATCTGTGGGCAACCGGCAAATAAACATATACTTCTCCAAAGATCGCTATAATTCCAAAAGCTAAATTATAGGGGATCCTTTGGAAAAGGACCTCTATCAAGGCAAGTTCGTTATACCCCGAGGTGAGCTCGCCATAAACTGCTCCGATGGCCTGCGGACCATCATCTTCCGGGACACCTTGAGTGGGCCCAGACGCGCTTGCAGCGCATGCAGCCACCTGCCAGAGATCCGAAGGTGAAGAAGTCCCGAAGCCGAAGAAAAAGATGTGTCTCATCATCATCGTGTCATTTGGGCATGAATTTTAAGTAGGGATCCTTTGGTGGACATCATTTAGCTGGGATTCATGTCCACCAACCCCACATGAGGTGGTTCCCTTCAGATTCATTTGAGATCCAGGTGCTATGCCTCTCCAAGAAAAGGGTTTCGAGGTCTCTCCTCAAGGACTCGAGCATGCAAAGGTCGCCGGAGCATCCAGACCATAGGTGTCCTTTTAGGTTGGAAATAGATGGGTTTCCCTGGTAGATGACTAAACCACCAAGTAAACCAGGAATCGCCATCTATGTTTCTACCAAGACAACCAAAAAGGACACCTACGATCCAGACTCATTGCCTGCCTGGAACAAATCTACCGACCCGTTGCCTGGTGGCATTCCGCATACAGGTGCTTGGTATGCTGACTTCAGGCATGCTAAGTCTGGAGCTTGCCCCGAACAAAAAATGCTTCGGAGCTTCCAATAGTCCATGTCACTTGAGCGCAAGGACGACTATGAATCTGACCCTATGAGCAATGCATGAAAAATAGAAGATCTTAGTATGTGTGGGAAATCAAGTGAGTGCCGCCTGCACCACCCAAACTGACAGACATTCCCCAACTCTTGATCATACTCGCTCCTTTCAAAGGAGAACAAGTCGATACTCCCCCAATATCGAAGGTAGACTGGACATGGGTGTCCTTCTGGTAGAATAGCTGGCCCTGGTACATGGGGCATAAGTCCCATCTCAACCAGAGGCTTGCCCATCTACTTCTAACCAAACGGACCTACTTTAAACAAAGGAGACCTATGAGCTTAAGATGTCATTGATGTGTCTTACCTCTCCTTCCTTGGGGATGAAATGAGCTTAAGATGTGTCTATATGGCTGTGGGTCAAAATCCTGTACCCCTGGTGAACATCAAAATAGATGGCAAGTGGATATTCCTCCACCCCAAAATGGCTCGCCATAGGTTAAACGCCCAATGGCCATGTAACTCCTTCCTTGGTGACTTCAAATTGGCAAGACGGAGAGCTCCAAGATCGAAGATGAGCTTAAGATCTGTCTATATTAACTCCTTAACTCCTTCCGGGGTGGGACTTTTGACTCAGTTGTTCAGTGTCCCTGGGAAAAAAGGGAACCCTTCTTTGCGAAGACCATTTTAGTGGGGCAGCCACCAAAAAAAATGGGAAAAATAATTGGTGCCACTGAACTACTGAGTTGAAGGCACCTGAAGACCGCGGCTCCGGCACCGAGCCAACGCGATCGATCGATCCGATCGATCCGCCTGGTGAAAGCCTCGAGCCACTGCTCTTTGCTGATGAACTCTGGCGCCTGCGAAGCGAAGACATCGGTGAGACGCAAACCGAAACGGGCAAGGGCCGTGGTGAAAAAGGGCCCGTGCTGGCCAACGATCAGCCAAACTCCAAGCGTACCTTTTGTTGGGGGGCCAGGTTGAAACGTGTGTTCTTGTTACAAGGGAGATTATTGACATGCCAAGAATATTTCTTCGGACAAAAAAGTGAATCTTAAAACATCAACAAGGACGACACTACCATTTTGCCGCGTCCCCTAAAACAAACACACCTAGTGAATCTTGACATATCAACCATGTTGCCGTCAAAGGAGACCCCAAGCCATCCGACTTCGGCACCGCCTCCACCCCGGCGATGCGCCGCATGGGCAGCGCGGCGGCGCCGCCGGGCGCCACGGCGCGGCGCATCTGCGCCCAAAGCAGCGGCCAAAGGCGCTGAGGGAAACCCCAGCGCTCCTGGCGCTCGGACATGGAATCCAGGAATCTGGTGATCAGCGAAGACAAAAAATGAGAAAATTGGAATGACCGGAACCAAAATCCATCCAACTGGTGGGTCTTTCTTTTTCGGGAATCCTCCTCACCGGTTCATTGCCTACCAGGGCTGTAAATGGAATCCACGAACCTGTGATACATCGGGCCTGACACCTCGGATTCCCAGCCATGCGAGAAGAATCGGCCTCCTTTCTTGGTTGAGTTTTTTTAAAGGAATCGGAAGTTGAAAACAGGCCACTGCAGCCTGTTGCCCCTAGGTGGAGATGTTTTCAAAAGTATCACAGTGGCTGGACAACCCCCCGTGTGATCAACCACCCTCCTGGCCCGTGGGGAAGATCGAAGATCCGGGCTCAAGGTCTCGCCCAAGTATCGAAGACTGGAACAAATTCAGAGGCACAGTGTCAAGAAAGTTGGGACTCCAAACAGAAGCTATGCTGATATGCAGGTTTCGTGCAAACGCATGCTCGTTGTGCTTATGTACAAACATCCTCATGGGTGGATATAGTTCTTTATCTTTGTAGGCTTGCAAGCCGTGTTGGACATGTCAATTGGACCGCAAATCCTCCCTGGATTTGTCCCCGTCCTCCAGCAGCTGCAGCAAAGGTGGAAGCTCCCAGCAGTCGCCGCAGAAGCGATTGTAAAGCTTCAGCGCGAGAGTCCTCTCAGCTGACTCGCGGTTGGGCGAACAAAAGCATTTGAAGGGTCAGACCAATCTCGGGAGACATTGAAGTGGGTTGTCATAACCCAGAATACTAAGCGCGTGCTAGGCTTGTAAATTAGCTGCCATAGGGCTTTTGTTCACCGCAGCCTGCTCGTCCCATATCAATCCCAGACATGTGTTCGCAGCAGGGGCTTGCCCAGGTCGATTCGCTGGTTTCAGGAAGATCCAGACCGCTGATTTGTTGCTCCTTTCAACATCCGCATCCACCATCTGACGCAAAACGCTCATGCTGAACATGTCTGTGTATTGTTTGCGGGATCCGCTGCTGAATGATTAAATCAGTTTGGAAAACAAAGTCATTGCAACTTCGCCAAGCGCAGAGTATCCATGGCGAAATCAACAACACTTCGCTGTACTCAGTTGTTCAGTGCCCCTGGAAAAAAGAAAAAGAGAATTGGGACCCTTCTTTAGTGGGGCAGCCACCAAAAGAAAGTTGGAAAAAAATGCCACCAAAAAGAAAGGGGGAAAAAGAATGGGTGCCACTGAACAACTGAGTGTAGGTTACTTCTGAACACCCGACATTCACCAAGAAACCCCTCGGAACGGAGACTCTCCGTGTGCCACCGCCTGTTGCGTGACGAAGCGCCCAATTCGGGGTCTCTTCGGTCTGTACGCTGATCCCAAAAGGGCACCAAGCCCAAGCATGCATTATGTATCTCTAGATATATATATATATATGGTACGCCCCCCCTGGTGCCCAGGTGTTGCTTGATTTCAGTCATTTTGTCAGGTAATTTTGCAGTTTCTTGGCCAAACTTGGGAACCAAGGAAGGGGGGTGTGCCAAAATTATACAATTAAGAATTCTGGACCCAAGATTGCTGCGAGACGTTCAATGTGACAATCTGGAATTAAAAATTCAATATTTCAAAACAATCTTTTCTGAAATTCTGGAATATTGAATAGTGCATCCCATATTATGTTCTGGTATTTTTTTAAAAACAAAAAACTTGGATTCAAGATTCAAGATTCAATATTTTAAAATAGTATGTTTCTAGGAATATTGAATATTGAATCTCATATGTTCATATTTGTAAAAACAATTTTTAGAAAATATGGGATTCAAGATTCAAGATTTCAATATAATATTTTCTGGAAATCTTGAATCCCAGATTATTATTATTATTATTAAAAACAGGTTTGTCCCAATACTCTCGGTGTTCAATAAGACTCTCGAAAAAGCTTTCCCTCAAATATTTCAATCTTGAATCTTCAGTCCAGTAGGTTAACAACGTCGAAGTTTTAGAACAACTTGATCATTTTTAGGGTTTGACCAGAATGGATTATTCTCAGGAAAGTTGTTGTTTGTGCAATCTATTGAATCCTCAATCCAGTGGCAAAGCACTTTCAAGTGTGAGAAGAACTTGAATGTTGTTTGGGATTGGCCAGGATTTCCATCCAGTAGTAAAATACTTCCAAGTGCTTTGCGATCCAGTGGAAACATAGACAAACTTTCAAGTGCTTTTGGTGAGCGGGTTGCTTCATGTTGGCTATGAAGAATGTTGACCCTTTTCCAGGAGGTAAGCAAAGGCGGGTGTAATGCTCAAAAACACTGTACTCTACAGTATTGTATGAAGAGGCGCAGGATCACTAGGGGTGCTATATCTGTATGTATGTATGTATGTATGTATGTATGCATATACATATGTATGTATGCTCACACACCGTCACCCGCCCCCCTCTTGAACTACCTCTCCACATTTGCTCATCCACTACCTCCGCTTTTTGAGGTAGAATGAATTTTGTTTTCCTGCGCAAATAGAACTTTAAATGCGACTGATTTAGCTAGAATCCCTGTTTCGAGAAAGTTTTAGAATTTGAACCTCTCTTCCCTTGAAATTTGCTTTTGGAACACCGTCTAACCTTTCTTATGCTGCAACCAGGATGTAAATAACACAAGTCGAATTTCGAATTTCCTTGTAGAAGTCCCTTAAATGTTTAGCCACATTTAATATGAACAAACGATTTGAGAAGTAGTCTCTATTTAATTGCTATCATGAAAAGCTAGTTGAGTTGTGTTCGTATTAGATTATATCTAACACTTAAATTATATTTGGGAATAAACTCCTAACTTCTTTTGTTGAAGATTAGTTGGAGTTTGCCCGAAACTATACTTATCCGCCGACCCCTTCTCCTAAGGGGAGGCGAATGGGAAGGGTGGCGACAAGATCGTCATCATGATAGTCATCATCTTGTTTTTTCGACTTCAATTGTAGCTCTGATTTGAGATGCAAAAAATGCGCGGACATGCTAAGCAAATCTTCCAGGAAGCAAAGGCATCCTTGAGTAATTTGGGTGGCCCTAAATGGGTTCCAACAGATGGGTTTTAGTTTGCTTTCTTGCTTGGAAGCCAGAAAACAAGGCACACAGAGCCATTACACACAGACTTTGCGCTGTTCAACTTTTAGAAGTGAGTTTTGTTTTGGCACCTCCCTTGGTGCAAGCTGGGAACCCGTTTATTGGACCCCGTCAAGCAGAGAGTCTTCATCGGATGGCCAGCCTTGCCAGCGCGCCTTTGACGGGGAGCGTCATGCTGAAAGAGTCTGGCGTGCATTCGTTGAAGGGTTCCAATGAACTCAAGAACAAAAACGGCGACAGCCGCTATGGATGGCTAGTTCCCCGAGCAAGTTGGACTTCAACAGGGTAGCTTGTTTTCCCCTAAGAGGGGACACCCTGGGTAGAAATCTATCTTGGGTTATATATATATATATATATATTTCGTATGCACTTCGCTCTGGATTCGACTCGAAATCCGACTGTGAATGGATTTTCCATCTGTGTCTTCGTTCAGGAAAGGCTGCCCTCCCCACAAAGAAACTGAGGAAAGCCTGGAGGCTTCCCTGCAACAAATTCTCGAGCGCCACCTTCTTGGCGGATCCCGGCTGGTGGCATTTTGGGCTGGCACGAGTTCCAAACGCAAACCTGCAAGGTTCGAATCTGAGAAAGCATGCATCATGTTGAAATGTGACCGATATCCAGTTTCAAAACACAAGTGAGCAGGTTTAAGTGGAACTCTCTGCGCCTTTGACCATTTTCGGTTCGAGGCAGGGCGAACAGAAACCTGGTTGAGCGATGTTCACCAGAACTAATCGAAGGGTCTTGACTCTTTACGCTTGACTGCCGGTTCTTTGAACAAGCGTGATCTTGGATGAGATGGTCGCAAGAGCTAAGCTAGGTCTGCTGCCGCCAAGACCACTAGCAAGACGCAAATTCCAACAGCAAAGGTGAAACCGTTCTGTGCACGGGATTACCTCTATAAGAGACCATGCTCTCGTGATATCTTGCACTCAAACCCATCTCCGTGCGCGGAAAGAACGGGAAACAACCAGACGCCTGAACAGATGAAACCATTACCAACTGCCCTGGCCGGTAGGCGAATACCTTCAGGTATGGCGGGCCCCGCCCCCAGCCGCCAAACACGTTCAGACCATGCGTTATCGTGTGTTGTTTCACGTTTTTTGTGTTTCAAAATGGCTTAACATCGTTTTGGGGGGGGTACCCCTGGGCCCAACATAGCTCCCAAGATGGCCCAACATAGCCCCAAGATGGCCCAACATAGCTCCAACATAGCCCCAAGATGCGCCTTGAAGTTATGTAGCTATGTTGGGGCTTGGGATTAGGTTGGGCCGCCTTGGAGATATGTATGGGCCATCTTGGGGGCTATATCCGGGCTAGGTTGGCGCTATGTTGGGCCATCTTGGGGCTATGTTGGGCCATCTTGGGGCTATGTTGGGCCAAATGTTGTCGCCAAACACAAAAAACGTGGAAACAACACACGATAACGCATGGTCTGAACGTGGTCGACGGCAGGGGGCGGAGCCCGCCATCGGGCCAGCAGGCCGTTTTGGGGGGGTACCCCCTGGCCCAACATAGCTCCAAGATGGCCCAACATAGCCCCGAGATGGCCCAACATAGCGCCAAGATGCCCCAACATAGCCCCAAAGTGGCCCAACATAGCGATGGCCCAACATAGCGCCAAGATGGCCCAAGAGGCCCAACATAGCCTTCAAGGTGGCTCGCCCAACATAGCCCCAATAGCTACATAACTCCAAGGCGGCCCAACCTAATCCCAAGCCCCAACATAGCTACATAACTCCAAGGCGGCCCAACCTAATTTTCAGGAGGCCCCAACATGGGCCAATCCCACGATGAACCGAGCCGTGGGCAAAGCCCCAAGTGGCCCAACATAGCCCTCTCTCGTCCATGTTCCGCTGTGGCGTTACACAGACATGAAGGATGCTGCCGCGGTCCCGGCCATCCTTTCTTTTGTAATTCTGTGCCCTGCCTCCTTCTCTATCCATCTCTACCCACCCCCCTGTCTTCTCCTTTCGCTACCTTCTCCCTCCTTCCGCCCCCTCCCTCCTTCCATCCTTGTCTTTGTTGTTGATACCTGAAGGTATTCGCCTACTGGCGAAGGGCCTTCGGCCGGGCCAGGGATAGCTATGTTGGGGCTTGGCAGTAGGTTGGGCCGCCTTGGAATTATGCAGCTTTGTTGGGGCTCTGTTGGGCCATCTTTGGGCTATTGAGGGCTATGTTGGGCCTCTTCAAGCCATCTTGGCGCTATGTTGGGCCATCTTGGGGCTATGTCGATCTCGTTGGTAGCTGGCACTGGCAATGAGACTTCTTTGCAAGCACTCTGCAGTTCGCTCCAATTATCTCCTTTGCCGGTGAGGATGTGTTGCACTTTCTGCAGGCCTATCCGATTGAAGACTTGCTCAACGAAAGGGCTAACCTGTTGCAAAGGAATTCCAGAATTGATACACAGTTTCGCAAGCTCTGCTTTAACTGACAAGATGTGTTCTGTCTTTGCGCCTCCGCCATGAAGTGGGACAACCAAGTTCAAGGTACACCTATCGTTGCGCACAAGGGCAGAAATGCACTGATTGAAACTCTGCGATCTCCCCAAGGCGATCTGCGGGCATCTGGCGAACCAAGAAGCGGCATGTTCCCACACTTTGGCAATATCACTGAGTTGCCTATCGGGCGGGAGCGAGACTTCGATCTTAGCATTGTTCAGGAGCTTAACAAGCACGGTTATCGGTGTGTCCTCACTCTGTTCTGCCCAGGTGATGCATGCAGTTCGGAGAAAGCAGGCAAACGTTTCATCTACTGCTCGAAAGGTGATTTCAAGAGCAGTTTGCGCATACGAACACAGCACGAGCAAGGAGTCAGCTTCAGTCAAGCCTGGCCAACATGTGATGCCTGCTGATTGCCACGCTTGCATTAGGCCGGAATCTTGCAAGTAGTTGACCCGCTCCCTCACTGCCGGGCATTTCCCCTCCAGGTTGGATAGTTCAGCACGTCACTAAAATTGCCGTACATCTGAGTCTGCCCACAAATCCCGGGAACTAACGGGAATTAAAGGAAAAGGAAATGAAAGAAAGGGAAGGGCACCTTGCCCAGTGGCCGGCTGTGTCGCGTCAGCGGCCACCCAACGTGATCGATGCCGCCCTTATAAGGGGCGAAGGATTTGCGGATTGGTCTAGGCGACTTTCGAGGAATTTTATAGCATCTCCCCGCGGCGTCCAAAAACGAGTGTGTTTTGGGGTTGCCTAATACTGGACAACACCCCCAGCACTGCCAGCATCATTCAGGATGATATGGATGATGCTATGCATGCTGGCGATGCAAAATAAGGGGCGGTACATGAAGGGGAAACGCAGGAGAAACAGGAGTGCATGGTCGGAAGTGAAGGGCATTGCAAGAAAATGAAGACGGCCCTGGAGAGAAAAGAAAATGGAAACTGCAAGGAGAACGTGAAGGGACCGGAGGATGGGAATGTGGGAAACGAAGAGAAACTGCAGGGAAATGAAAAGATGTGCAGGCGGGAACCAAAAAGAAGAAAGAGAAAGGACTGCGAATGAAGAGGCAATTAAGGGGAAAGGAAAGGAAGTGAAGGGAAATGCACGGAAACTGTCGGACATGCAGGGAAGACATGCAAAGAAAGTGAAGTTGAAATCCCGGGAACTAACGGGAATTCAAGGAAAAGATTGCAAATCAAGGGAACTGAAAGTAAATATTCTCATGTAGCGCCTATTTGGAAAGGTTTTGCTTATACAAGCTGTAGTTGAGCAATGTTGAGCATAACCACATGTTTGAAAACTATATCCTCACCACATTATATTCAAAACTCCAATTCTAGTTGAAGTACAATCCTATTTGGAAAGGGTATCATGTTGGGGCATTTCGGATCTTGCCATGATGGACTGCAAGCCCATTCGTCTGCGCGTAAAATTTATTCCAAAAAAACTAAACTCTACAGCCCGCGCGCTGAAATCAAGCAAGACCTAGGCACCAGAAGGGGGGGGCGTAGCATGTATATATATATATATATATGTATGGCCATGGGTCAAAATCTCTTACCCGCAATGAACATCCGATTCAATCCAACCACTAAAATAGGTTCTAAAATGGGTGGTGAATTCACCTACCCCAAAGTGGTACCATTGGTTTTGACCCACAGCCACATATATATATATATATATGTATGTATTATTATATATATGTATATATATATATATATATATATATCTGCTGTAATATATATATATATATATGTATATTAAGTGTGATTTTGTGTATGTTATATACGATATAGAGACCATGTAGGGCACCAGGCCTCGCGCCCTCATCCCAGGACAGCAGGGTCGCAAGCCGCTCCTGTCGGGTGTGTTTTTTCTGTCCGGTATCCTTCAGACCTCGGTTCAAACAGAAACGAGCAGAACCACATCCTCGAGTCCTCCAGATTTGAGAGGTTAGAAGAAGTTGGTACAAATTTTATGTTTTCTGTGGTCGGTTTTAGTAGGGGAACCGAATCTCCCCCAGAAAAGAATCGGTAACAGGGCACGGAACCAGGAAAACCTAGACATTGTTTGGGGGTGGATCAATTTTGAGACGTACCCAAATGAAACATTGACACGTTCACCCCAGGGCACTACAGGGGGACCTAGACATTGTTTGGGGGTGGATCAATTTTGAGACGTACCCAAATGAAACATTGACACGTTCACCCCAGGGCACTACAGGGGGACCTAGACAGTTTTTGGGGTGGATCAATTTTGACACGTACCCAAATGAAACATTGACACGTTCACCCCAGGGCACTACAGGGGGACCTAGACATTTTTTGGGGTGGATCAATTTTGACACGTACCCAAATGAAACATTGACACGTTCACCCCAGGGCACTACCTAGACATCAATTTTGAAACCATTGACACGTTCACCCCAGGGCACTACAGGGGGACCTAGACATTTTTTTGGGGTGGATCAATTTTGAGACGTACCCAAATGAAACATTGACACGTTTGACACGTTCACCCCAGGGCACTTTTGGGGGACACGTTTTTGTTTGGGTGGATCAATTTTGACGTACCCAAATGAAACATTGACACGTTCCCCAGGGCACTACAGGGGGACCTAGACACAATTTTGACACGGGACACGGACACTAGACATTTTTTGGGGTGGATCAATTTTGACACGTACCCAAATGAAACATTGACACGTTCACCCCAGGGCACTACAGGGGGACCTAGACATTTTTTGGGGTGGATCAATTTTGACACGTACCCAAATGAAACATTGACACGTTCACCCCAGGGCACTACAGGGGGACCTAGACATTTTTTGGGGTGGATCAATTTTGACACGCACCCAAATGAAACATTGACACGTTCACCCCAGGGCACTACAGGGGGACCTAGACATTTTTTGGGGTGCATCAATTTTGACACGTACCCAAATGAAACATTGACACGTTCACCCTGGGGTGGATCAATTTTGACACGTGCCCAAATGAAACATTGACACGTTCACCCCAGGGCACTACAGGGGGACCTAGACATTTTTTGGGGTGGATCAATTTTGACACGTACCCAAATGAAACATTGACACGTTCACCCCAGGGCACTACAGGGGGACCTAGACATTTTTTGGGGTGGATCAATTTTGACACGCACCCAAATGAAACATTGACACGTTCACCCAGGGAACTACAGGGGGACCTAGACATTTTTTGGGGTGGATCAATTTTGACACGTGCCCAAATGAAACATTGACACGTTCACCCCAGGGCACTACAGGGGGACCTAGACATTTTTTGGGGTGGATCAATTTTTTTGACACGTTCAGATCATTGAAACATTGACACGGGCACTGGATCAATTTTTTTTGACACGTACCCAAATGAAACATTGACACGTTCACCCCAGGGCACTACAGGGGGACCTAGACATTTTTTGGGGTGGATCAATTTTGACACGTACCCAAATGAAACATTGACACGTTCACCCCAGGGCACTACAGGGGGACCTAGACATTTTTTGGGGTGGATCAATTTTGACACGTACCCAAATGAAACATTGACACGTTCACCCCAGGGCACTACAGGGGGGACCTAGACATTTTTTGGGGTGGATCAATTTTGACACGCACCCAAATGAAACATTGACACGTTCACCCCTTTTGTCTGTATTTGAACTAGGCATCATCCTTCCTTGAATGACGCCAACCTCCCTTAGCTGGACACGAACAAACACCCACCACCCCCAAAGCGGAGAGAAAGAAAAACGACAGCGGTTGACTGAGCACCGAAAAACCGGCAAACCGCACCCCCAAACCCCAAAGCCCTCTTGCCGCAATATGGAACCCCACTCAAAACCTACCCCCCGCCACACCCCACCCGGGCCCCACCCAACCCATTTTCCACGTCCAAAGAAAGTCCTGCAGCGTCCATCCATCCTCCAGGCGTCGATTGGACCTTCGCTTCTCCACCGGCTGCTCCAGGCTTAAGCCGCTCGTTCCTGCGAGCCGATGGAGGTTGTTGGGCCAAACGAGAGTCCTGAAACCTCTTGACACACATGACATGGGTGTGGGTCAAAAATGGGGTAACCCTGGTAAATGGAAACATGGACTAAAACCTGCGCCCTAGTGGTTTAATTTTGACCCACACCCACATGGGTGTGGCTCAAGTGACGCATGTTTCAGTCTTTGGTTCCAATTACCAAGGTGCCATATTTCGGTACATGTTTTGAGCCACAACCACATTGATTTGGGTGGCTCGTCTCTTTCTTTGAGGAGGTACCCCCGATGTTTGTGATTTTGAAGGGAAACCGAAAGGGAAACCCACCATTTTGGGGCCACCCTAAAGAAAAAACACACCCATTTGAACACAAGAGCAACGATCTTGAAAGGGCAAATCAGATTTGTGGGCCATTCGAAACGAGCCGACGCAAAAAAAAGTGGACGGCCTTGGGACGGCTGCAGCGTCACCTCCGTCTCCATTGCAACTGCAGGGCTCCGCTCGACATGGCCAAGCGAACAAGCGACAGCAAGTCGGTGATCCCATGGGCTCTCTGAGCTGGGCTCGAACCAACAATCTGAAGCGACATCTGGTGGAAGCTGTGAGCAAAACCAAAGATGACCAAAGAGACTCGCGTTTCTTCTCGGGGCGGGCCATGAGCCCTTGCACGTGGCCTGCGGCTGCAAACAACTTGGTTTCGCCTTGAGCTGTGATTCTGTGACGTTCTCTACGTTAACATGCACTCTTGACTCACAAACCTGCAAAATCATCCCATGCATTCATAAAGCTGTCTATTGGTTTCCCTTGGAACCCGCCAATTCCGGAACTGCCCAAAGCGCGGCTGCGCGGCAAGCAAGCACTCAAAGATGCAGAAGAGCCCTGCAAAGCGCGTCCTGTTCACCTTTGGTACTAGGTCCTCCAGTAGAGAGGCTAGAATAAGCTTTTTTCTGCAGTCTATTTTAGTAGGGGAACCCTCCCAACCAAAAAAAGGCTAGCTGGGTAGCTGGTTGTAAAGCTTCACCCTCCCACCTTGCTCCACTCGGGAAGTCAGAACACAGCGACGTGCATTCTGGGCAAAGGGTTGTGGATGTTGTTCACAAAACGCGAGGGAATGTAGCTAGGGATTCCCTTTCAGAGAACCATAAGGGATGGTGTTTCTTGGGGGTCGTTCCATTTCTCATTCCCTGCGTATCGAACCAGCAAGTTGCTTTGCCCTCATGCGCGAGTTTCGCAAGTTGGAAGTTGAAAATCGTGAGCCTTCGATAGTTGGGGTAACCAAGGCTGGCAAGGAACCATTCTCAAAGCCAAGTACCTCAGGATGGTGTTTCAATAAACAACTAGATAGGGGTTTCGAGTACTTCCTTGAAAGGCACTTGAATCATCCTTTGTTGCCTCTTCTGAAAGAACATCAAACAACCTTACTGACGACTCAGCCGCTCAAAACACATGATATGAAACAAAGGCCCCTCATCGAGACTGATCATTGCACCCTCAGTAGATTTTCCTGCGTCCATGCGGATCGGTGTCCGCCCACAGTGTTCGAAGCTACAGCCCCCCCTCCCCCCAATTATTCGGAGGTGCGGGTGGGGAGGGCTTGCCCCTCACAAGTCCTGCACAAACTACGCAAAAAGGAACCGCGTGTACCCGAAAAACCTCAACCATTACGTGGGCAAACATGAACCCATCAGCCAAGATCCTGAGCAAGAAGCACATAAGCCGCATACAGATTCTACAAAAACATGAAGACTTGGAACTTCACCAGTGCCTAACCATCCCCGCGCTGCAAACCCCTGGCATGGCCGCCACTCCTCCCCTGTTTGAGAACATCACACACACACAAACCCCTTGGTTGCGGGGGTCTATCAAAGGTAAACCCTGCAAACAGCAAGCAACCGAATCGAAACCGATTCAACGGGGGGAAGTGCTTCTCGTCCACTGTGTCGGAGGCGTCTTGCATCCTTGCGAGTAGAAGCTTGATGATTCCCTCACGCGCACGACCAACTCTGCTGCACCCCCGCCCACTAAACTCTAAATGCAAACAAAAATGCACCCATAGCTGTTCAGCAACCGCATGACATGCGGACTCCCAACTAGACCACGGTTGGCCCGAAAGCAGAACATCGCAAGCGAGGTCGGCCCAACGCTGCAGGATGCGTTCTTTTTCCCTACACGAAGCATTTGTGAAGCAAGCGCGAGACAGCACCAGGCAAGGTGCTCTGCGCAAACTGGTCGGTGCAAGTTGGTCTGCGCAAGTTGCTCTACGCAAGTTGCACTGTGCAAGTTGCTCTGCGCAAGTTGCTCCGCGCAAGTTGCTCCGGCAAGTTGGTCCCTGCAAGTGGCTCCCTGCAAGTTGCTCTGTGCAAATTGCGCTCCCTGCAAGTTGCTCTGTGCAAGCTGCTCTGTGCAAGTTGCTCTGTGCAAGTTGCTCTGCGTAAGTTGCTCTGCGCAAGTTGCTCTAGGCAAGGCGCTCTGCGCAAACTGGTCGGTGCAAGTTGGTCTGCGCAAGTTGCTCTGTGCAACTTGCTCTGCGCAAGTTGCTCTGCGCAAGTTGCTTTAAAATGCAAGTTGCATCTTGCGACGCCCGCCCGAACCCGCGAGGGCCACCAGGTCGCAAAAAACCTCGAGTTTTTGCACCTCGACCACGCCGATCCCCGCAGAGGGTTGCGCGAGCACCGCAGAAATCGCAAAAAACCTCGAGTTTTTGCACCTCGACCACGCCGATCCCCGCAGAGGGTCGCGCGAGCACCGCAGAAATCGCAAAAAACCATGGGTTTTTGCACCTCGACCACGCCGATCCCCGCAGAGGGTCGCGCGAGCATCGCAAAAAACCATGGGTTTTTGCACCTCGACCACGCCGATCCCCGCAGAGGGTCGCGCGAGCACTTTAGAAATCGCAAAAAACCATGGGTTTTTGCACCTCGACCACGCCGATCCCCGCAGAGGGTCGCGCGAGCACTTTAGAAATCGCAAAAAACCATGGGTTTTTGCACCTCGACCACGCCGATCCCCGCAGAGGGTCGCGCGAGCAGGTTAAAATCGCAAAAAACCATGGGTTTTTGCACCTCGACCACGCCGATCCCCGCAGAGGGTCGATTTTCGTGTAGTGTCGTCGGCACTACCCCGCCGCCCTAAGAAGAGATTTTAACTCCTCGCAAGTCAATTGCACTTGACTCCTTGCACTTGCAACTTGCACTTGACTCCTTGCTTGTTTCAAGGAGTCATTGCAAGGAGTCATTGCAAGGAGTCATTGCAAAGAGTCATTGCAAGGAGTCATTGCAAGGAGTCATTGCAAGGAGTCATTGCAAGGAGTCATTGCAAGGAGTCATTGCAAGGAGTCATGAGAGCCATTGCAAGTTGCAAGGAGCCAAGTGCATGGAGTCAAGTGCAAGCGCAAGTGCACGGAGTTAAGTGCAAGTTGCAAGTGCAAGGGGCCAAGTGCAAGGAGCCAAGTGCAAGTGCATGGAGTCAAGTGCAAGTTGCAAGTGCAAGGAGTCAAGTGCAAGTTGCAAGTGCAAGGAGTCAAGTGCAAGTTGCAATCCTTGCCATGACTCCTTGCAATGACTCCTTGCAATGACTCCTTGCAATGACTCCTTGCAATGACTCCTTGCAATGACTCCTTGCAATGACTCCTTGCAATGACTCCTTGCAATGACTCCTTGCAATGACTCCTTGCAATGACTCCTTGCAATGACTCCTTGCAATGACTCCTTGCAATGACTCCTTGCAATGACTCCTTGCAATGACTCCTTGCAATGACTCCTTGCAATGACTCCTTGCAATGATGACTCCTTGCAATGACTCCTTGCAATGACTCCTTGCAATGACTCCTTGCAATGACTCCTTGCAATGACTCCTTGCAATGACTTTCATGATGATGATTCCTTGCAATGACACCTTGTAATGACTCTCATGAGAACAACTCAAGTGAACCCAGCGGAAGAACCCTTCGCCATGCTTTCGGGAAAATGAGAAAACTCAGATGGGGGTAGTGTCGACTTGGAGCACGATACTCACAAGGGGTAGTGCCGCTGTTCGTAGGAATGTACTTAGTTCGTTGTAGGGGGATTCCTCAGATTGGTATGTTCCTAATGACAGAGTTAAACATATATGTCCGTGAGGAACAATCTTCAACCAGTGTTCCCCAAAAGCAAGTTCTATGAGAGTTGAAGCGAGTTTTCACAAGACGTTGAAAACAGAGGGTCCCGTGGTAGCGACACCTAAAACCAGTGCTAAAACTACAAGTTTGAAGCTCGAAGCCATGATCGAGATGGCTGGAAGATTGCCGGAGTGCAAGCCCCAAACTACAAATTGACGCTAATTAAATTACGGGGGGGGTCCAAAAAATCGGGCAGGAGAAACCTGCGGCAAAAGCCTGGTTTCACTCTTTTTCTCCGGGTCACCGGCGGCTGTGGGGAAAAAAGACACACTTGTGTTGGTAGTGACTTGAAAGGAGCAAAAACCCCACCCCCCCAAAAAAAAAACAAAAACAAAGGGCACCACTGGCATAGGTGTCCATTTTGGGAAAATAGATATGGGTTTCCCCGGTATTTGGTTCAGGAATCGCCCTCTATGTTTCGGCCAAATCAACCAAAAAGGACACCTATGCACCCCGAAAAAAGAGCCAAGGGCACCACTGAGTCGGGTTAAAACAGACCACAGAGGCCAGCGAGGTGCTTTTTTCAACTTCTGAACTTCCGACCGAAAGCGCGCAACCGAGGCAGTGGTTGAATCTGTGGTTCGGAGGCCTTTTGCAGGAGAAAAGAGAAAAAATGGCGCAGTCTCTGTCTCCATTTTGCACCAAGCACCTAGTGCGCATTTTGTGGGAAATGAGAGACATGTCAGGGGTAAACGGCGTCTACCTTATCAAAACCGACAAGTGGAGCTCTCCGCATTCGCATTTACAACTCGCGAACCTGAACTAAGAACAAACTTGGAACCTCATCATGGAATCGCTTGTGTTGTCCCCAATCGGTGACACAATGGCCTGCTTTTGTGGATGTGTCATTTCTTCGAGGCGGTACTTCTTTGAGGGCTTCAATGGGAACCAAAAGGAACCACCATCCACATCTGAGACAAAGCTATAGCCTCCAGGCCTCTCAAGCCTCAATGCCACCAGAACTTTACCCGCAAACTGGCTTCCTTGCCAGGGTCCTCCCGCAGAGAGGTTCGAATAGGGGTACCCTTTTTTCTGTGCCCCACTAGTTGGCAGACCAATCCGTTACGAGAGATTCGACGCATGGCTTCCTTTTGGCTGCCTGAAATTCCCTCCGGCGCGGCGATCGGACCCTGCACGGGGCCGGAGAAAGCCGAGTCCTCTGCGTCTCGAAGCTAAAGAACTGTGGCTGGCCCTGACCTCGGAGATCGCATCCGATCAGAAACAGCTTTTTCTGGATCCGAACTGGGGATCCAAAGTGGTTGTTAAGCGGGAGTCCAAAAAGGTTTCTTGGGGGATGTTTGTGGGAGCCAAACGGCCTTTTTTCTT